CCAGCCTTGCGCTAGGAGAGGCACAGCCGCCCGTGTCCACAAGCAAAGCTGCCGACAGGGACCTGCCCACCAGGCCGGAGAGGCGCGAGTTGCCCTGGTTAAAGCGTGGTTGGCCAAGTCTGAGTCCTCACGGAGAATCAGAGCCCGCGGAGGGAGCGCATGTGCAGCTCAAAGGGCAGCAGTGGGGCCTTCAAGGGAGGGAAGGGCGTGGAAGAAACTGCAACAGAAAAGAATCCCTCCTCCGAGCCTTAGCTGCAGCGCCTCGTGTCCGGGTTTCCAGAAGCCCAGAGGCAGCTTGGGCCAGGCAGGTCCCTATGGCGGAGCCTGGCCCTTGAGGGGGGAAAGAGACTATAGTGCCCGACAGCCTCCACAGTTCGACATAAAGAGCTTTCTCCACCCCTGGTCTACTGGCCACAGACGGACCGCCCTGGGATGGGGGCAGAAAATATTGGAACTTCCACATATTATTTTAAATGTCATCATTTTGAGTTTTCACTTTTATGTATATTTCATAATGTATATAATCTATTAGTGAAATAGTACTAATTAACCAATCAATAAGTATGTATTAAGAGATTATGCTCAAACTGTTTTAGTGAAAGGGTGAGCAATCAAATAAAGTTTGGTGATCACTGCTCTTAGGCAACCTACCCTTTAATAAACTCCTGTAGCCCTGGACTATGTGGCTCAGTGGTTAAGCATTGTCCATGCACCAAGAGGTCACTGGTTTGGTTCCTGGTCACCGCACATGCCCAGGGTTGTGGGCTCCATCCCCAGTAGGAGGCGTGCAGGAGGCAGAGGATTGATGTTTCTCTCTCATCAGTGTTTCTATCTCTATCCCTCTCCCTCTCTCTAAAATCAATAAAAACATATTTTTTAAAAATTAAAACATAAATAAACTCCTGTAGCTGTCAGAGTACCAACAGCACCAGGCATTTGCGGGTACCCATTCCCTTTTGTACCAGACCAATAAGAAGGAAGGAGCAGGGAGACAGAGTGAAGATGGGTGGGCAGGGGGCAGTTACCAGGGGAATTCATTTCAAAGGAGCAGAGGAGGGGGACAGGCTCCTGAAGGACAGGAAATGGAAGGCCAGAACTTCCAAAGGGTTCAGTAAGGATTGCTGGGTCTGTTGCCAAATGGCAAGTGTTACCAGCCTTCTCTGTGCTTGTCCTTGGCATTCACATCCCATGCTGTCCCATCTGGAAAACAAAGGAGTCCCTACAGGCAGAAGGTTTTATCCTCAGGGAGACAGAGTGTATGTCCTTATTTGATTGATTAACCCCCTGAATCTGTCCTCTGAGGAACAGCCACTTCTCCGGAGAGCTAGGGTGTGGTAGCATCCTCAGCTGGATGCTAGGCTCTCCAGGGACCTCACACTCACAGGCACACATGCACACATGCGCACAGTGTACAGACATACACACACGTGCACACTTATGCACAGGTACACAAATATGTGCACACACATATTGCACATCACACACAAACTCAAGTCTATGCTTTTAAAACACTGGTTTATATGTTTCAAGTCTTAATTGCTATAATGTCAAATGTAATGTTGCTAGTAAAAATATAAGTAAAAAATGTTAAAGTATGTCATAGCCATCATTTCATGAGGATGGCTGCTCGGTGCTTTATTTTGCACCTGAATGGACCCAGGAAGACAAACATAATCCCGAGCTTGGTAAGGAGCTTAGAATGTATATTCATGTTGGAAAGTCTTCTTCATGGACAATGGCTTCTTGGAAATCCATTATATAGATAATCACAACTTTTTTTTTTTTATCAAATCATGCTGGCAGGGAGATGTGCAAAGGGTATGAAGCTCATGTAAGATAATTAAATTCTGAGACCCACTACACAGCACAGTGCTGCCAGCTAACAATTCTGAATTGTGTACTTACAATGTGCTACTGGGTAGATCTTATGTTAAGTGTTCTTACCACACAAAACAATAATAAATAAAACAATAATGAAGGTATGGGAGGATACTTTGAGAGGTGATGGATATGTTGATGGCCTTGATGTTGGTGATGGTTTCACAGGTATATACTTACCCCCAAACTCATCAAGTTGTACACATTAAATACATACAGATTTTACATGTCAGTCAAACCTCAATAAAGTGTTTTTAAAAATAAAGAACCTACTGATGAGAGTTGAGATGGTTTCCAGCTTTTCCCTGCAGCCAGGAGCATATTGTTTCCTCTTTCTGTTGTTTATGGTGCTGGCGTTCACTCATGGGGTCCACAGGGTGCATCTTTATGTTTTCCATTTGTTAAATTCCAAGGTACCGCCGTGGCCAGGTGGCTCAGTTGGTTGGAGCGCCACCCCATGCCGCAGGAGGTTTCAAGTTCGATTCCTCGATGGGAGTCGCTGGCTGGGTTTGGTACCCTTGTTGGTGCTTATCTGGGAGGTAACCATCAATGTGTCTCTCTCACACTGATGTCTCCCTCTCTCTCAATATCTCTCTAAAAATCAATAAAAACACATCCTTGGTTGAGGATTAAAATAAAAAGTCCACGGGTCAAGTCACTGGGTCAAAAGGTGATTACATTAAAAATGTGATCTGAACGGACAACAAAACAAACAGGCAGCCAACCAGATGGGAGGTGATGTTTGCATACAGTAGCGCCAACAAAGGTTTAATGTTCTAAATATATAAAGAACTCATAAAACTCAACACCAAACAAACAATCCAATCAAAAAGTGGGCAGAGGACCTGAAAATACGCCTCTCCCAAGAAGACATACGAATAGCCAATAGATATATGGAAAGATGTTCAACCTTATGGAAGCCAACCAGATGGGAGGTGATGTTTGCATACAGTAGCGCCAACAAAGGTTTAATGTTCTAAATATATAAAGAACTCATAAAACTCAACACCAAACAAACAATCCAATCAAAAAGTGGGCAGAGGACCTGAAAATACGCCTCTCCCAAGAAGACATACGAATAGCCAATAGATATATGGAAAGATGTTCAACCTTATGGAAAATCAGGGAAATGCAAATCAAAACTACAGTGAGATACCCCCTCACACCTGGTAGAGTGGCCATTATCACAAAGACACAATCACAAGCAAAAACTACCTGTTAGAATGGCTATTATCAAGACTAATAATAACAACTATAGAGAAAAAGGAACCCTCGTTCACTGCTGGTGGGAATGTAGACGGTACAACCACTATGGAAAGCAGTCTGGCGACTCCTCAAAAAACTAAAAATAGAGCTACCATATGACCCACCCATCCCACTGCTGGGTATATGCCTGAAAAACTCGAAATCACATATTCACAAAGATATATGCACCCCTGTGTTCACTGCAGCATTACTCACGGTGGCCAATACACGGAAACAACCAAAATGTCTTGCGATAGAGGACGTGGTCCATATACACCATGGAGTGCCACTCAGCCATAAGAAAGGATGAAATGCACCATTTGTACAACAAGGATGGGCCTTGAGAACACTATGCTGCATGAAGTAAGGCCATCAGGGAAAGCTGAGAACCGCATGATTTCACTCACATGTGGGACATAAATCTGAAACTCACGAACACAAGCAGCAGAGTGGTGGTCGCCAGAGGGAGGGGGGTTAGCGGACAGAGACGCGAGTCCTAATATGAGGTGACAGGAGAAGTTGTGACTCTGGGTGGTGGGCACATGGTGCAATATACAGATTTTACAACATAGAAACCCACACTGAAACCTATATGTTCATGTTGACCAAGGTCATCCCAATCAATGTAGTAAATAACATTTTTTAAAAATAAAAATGAAAATGTGATCTGTATGTACCACCACCAGATGCCCCTCCAGAAATACTGAGTACACATTAGAGAGTCCTTTCTCTCCACTCTCCCTGTCACGAGGGATCCTCAACCTCTTCCAATCAAATTGCAAAAATGACATCGTATTTAAATTTACATTATATTTGCATTAATTATTTACAAGGTTGAACATGCACGGTATCGTGCTTACCAACCCTTTGCATTTATTGCATTATTGCTAGTTTGTATACAGGGTATCCCAAAAAAGTGTATATACGCTTTGAAAATTAATTCCAATGTATCTTTTTCTCAGATTTAATCCATTGAAATTAATAATTATTCAAAGTGTGCATACATCTTTTGGGACACCTTCTATTTTCCCATAATAAGTAAGGTCTTAATTTTGATCTGTTCAGATTCTCACTCATTTGCCAGAGTTCTTATTATTATTAGAGGCGTTAGCCATTGGTCTATAACAAAAAAAAAAATACATCCCCCAGGTTAATTTGGTCCTATCTTTTAATCTTTACTTATACTGCTTTTGCCATATAAAATTTTACATATTACCCAGTTTTATTAAATTAGTCAATTTTTTGCTTTATATCATCTTTCATCAAGCTTAAAAGAATCTTTCTGCTACAATATTGTTAAGATAGTCATCCACATTTTCTTCTGGTATTTTAGTGTCTTTTTTACATATTTCAATATTTTATTCCTCTGGACGTCTTCTCGAAGGAATGGAGGGAACCCGCTTCGCAGCCACAAGGCTGGTGTCCCAGAGCTTCCACTCAGCCCAGCAGCCAGCTCCTATGTGGCCTGCGGCACGGCTCCTGCCGGCTCCCTCCCCAGGCCTCGGACTGCCTACGGCACCGGCACCCAGCACCCAGCACTGCACCCTCTGATGTGCTGCCCTACCTCGCAGGGCAGTCTTTCCCCACCACTATTCTCTTTCAAAATTGTCACCGCCTTCCTACCACTTTTGCTCCTCCAGCTGAACTTTAAATCACATCACTATTAAAAATAAACTGTGTGGAAACTAAATTTCCCACGTAGTGTCATAACAAGGTTTCCCAGAGGTATGACGTAGAACGGCCCAGCAGACAGTTTCTGTGAGAGGCAAATAGGGAACATGTCCTCTGTCACTGCTCCCGGACTCCAGCGATGATGCGATGATGCGATGATGCGGGAAAGCAGCAATAAATAGCAGGAGACTTCGTGGGCGTGGCTCTGTCGGTGAAAACTTTATTTAGAAAAATACGGGCAACGGAGGTGCAATGGAGGATTACTCGGGCATCGCAAAGGAAGGGGTCTGTAGACGCGGAGGCACAGACGAGCCTTGAGGACGTCCTGGGAGTCCTGGGACGTGAAAGAAGACTCAGCGGCCACTGTTGTAGGATTCGTGGATGTGAAATGCCCAGGAGGGTGTCCATCCAGACAAAGCTCAGATTAGTGGTTGTCGGGGGCTATGGGAAAGGAAATGGGGAGGAGTTAATAGGTATGTTGTGTTTTTCTTGGTTAATAAAAAAGTTTTGAAATTAGAGAAACATAACTCAGGGGGGGCAGTGGCACATTGCACATCATGGTCTAAATGCCTCTAAATCAGCGGTTGTCAACCTGTGGGTCGCGACCCCTTTGGGGGTCGAACAACCCTTTCACAGGGGTCGCCTATGACCATCGGAAAACACATATATAATTACATACATATTGTTTTTGTGATTAATCACTATGCTTTAATTATGTTCAATTTGTAATAATGAAAATACATCCTGCATATCAGGTATTTACATTATAACTCATAACAGTAGCAAAATTACAGTTATGAAGTAGCAACGAAAATAATTTTATGGCTGGGGGTGCTGTTATGAATCGTAATGTAATTATATATGTGTTTTCCGATGGTCTTAGGCGACCCCTGTGAAAGGGTCGTATGACCCCCCAAAGGGGCCACGACCCACAGTTTGAGAACCGCTGTTCTAGAGGCTCTTGGTTTAGGTCAGGGTTTCTCAATCTCAGCTCTGTTGACATTTTGGGAAGGATAATTGTTTGCTGTGTTTGGGGAAGGGCTCTCCTGTGCAT